TTTCTCAGGATTGGCTAGAGCGTCTGTTTTTCTCACAAAGTCCTAGGAAATGTTCAGGCTGCTCTTCAGGGAATCTTTTTGAGGATCCCTGGTATAGGTTTTCAGAGAATGGAGGTGTCTCTGGAGGTTGGAGAGTAGGGTCAAGTACCCACCAGCAGCAGGAAAGCATGTCTATAAGCCTGGCCCTCTAGAGTCTCCCAGGCCCTCAATGTCACATCCCATGTCATCCTAAAATGAAATGAAGAAAATAGCTTATATTTAACAACTGAACCATGTGTTTTCCACCTTAATAGATCCAGCAGTATTAAACATTACAACATTTAAAAACTCCGAAACACTTGTGGTCCTAAGCATTTCAAATAAGGGATACTTTATCATCATAATAAATATGTAAGTTGCAAGAGAATCCAATTAAGAGACTGCACATGAGGCTTTTTATTGGACGGGATGACATCCTGTCAGCTCTGCCTTCGGACCAGGGATGGTCTTCCCAAGAAACTGTTGAATGTATTTGGACAGTAAGATGCTGGACTCTATGCATGGTGCATGCTTGCAATGAAGGAATCATGACTGGGTTTGAACTGTACTACTGCAACAATGTGGAGGAATCCAATATGGGGGAGAGCATGGGGAGGAGTTGGAGGAATCCCAGAGCTTATGAAACTGTGTCATAAAATGAAATAAAAAAAAGAGAGACTGCACATGAGAAACAGGAAATGCTTTTTAGAGAAAAGTGAGGGTTTTTAAAAATAACTTTAATTTTTAATAAATCAACATGGATACTAAGCTTTTTAACAATAGGACTGCTTCCAGCTATAGTTGCTCCCTGCCATGGTATAGGTTTCTGAGTCGCTATTATATTGTGAAATAACAGGCAAATGTGCATTATCATGGACTAGAAATTTTCAAGGTCATTAACAGTAACTACCCGGGAAAAGAGTAGAAAATGAAACCTTCTAAATAGTCTCATCGCATATACAAAGGCAATCACCTCTGGCAACTTGCAGCTCAAATTTGCATTTCATATTAAATGAATTGATAAAGATCAATGATCAAAAGAACACTTTTTTTCCCTAAGAATTATTTATTTTTATTAAAAGTCATATATACAGAGAGGAGGAGAGACAGAGAGGAAGGTCTATCTAATGATTCACTCCCCAAGTGGCCACAATAGCCAGAGCTGAAACGATCCAAAGCCAGTAGTCTGGAGCCTCTTCCAGGTCTCCAACTGGACTACTTTTCCAGGCCACAGGCAGGGAATCAAATGGGAAGTGGGGCCACTGGGATTAGAATTGGCACCCATATGGGATCCCGGCATGTACAAGGTGAGGACTTTAGCCACCAGGCTACCATCTTAGAAGACAGGTTGTTTTGGACAGGAAACCCACCACACTTTTACTATTCTTTTGGGTATGTACGGACTGTATCTATACAACAAAATGATGAATATCCATTAGGCTCATTACATACAGAATCCTCCAACCACAGCGGTTTAATCCTGGCGTAGCAACATTTTTCACAACATTGTTTTGGAAATACTACAAATTCTAGATATTGGGGCTTAGTGGATTCTCCCAGAATACTTAAGAAAATGCTCAAATGTGGTGTACACCTAGTATTAGCAAATGCAAAATAGCTAGTAAAAATTGATTGTGAAAGAAATTATTCAACAGGGAAAATTTCTTTTATGTTAACAAACAAGCAGGGCAGGAATGGAGAGATGGGCAGCAGTATTGTGGCTTAGTAGGTTAAGTTGCTGCCTTTGATGCTGGCTGTGATCCCAGGCAGGCAGCAATTGAGACCTGGCTGGTCTACTTCTGATTTAGCTCCCTGTTAACCTGCCTGAAAAAGCAGCAGCAGATAGCCCATGTCCTTGAGCCTCTTCATCCATGTGCAAGAGCCAGCTGGAGTTCCAGGATCCTGGCTTCAGACTGACTCAGCCTTATTCACTGTAGCCATTGGAGAGTGGACCAGAATATTTTCCTCTCTTTCCTTAAACCTCTCTCTGCAGTTTTGCATCTCAAGTAAACATATAAAATAAACATATAAAATATTCTTTAAAGGAAAGGGAGAGAAAAACAAACAAATAGGGACGGTCCTTGGCACAGCAGCTAAGTCATCTTTTGAAGCACCTGCATCCCATTTTGGGAAGTTTGGTTTCAATCTGGCTCTTCTACTTCAGATCCAGCTTCCTGCTAATGTGCAACCAGAGGGGCAGAAGATTTGGTTCAAATACTTGGGTGCCCATCCTCCTCCCTGGGAAACTTCCATTGACTTCCGAGCTCCTGGCTTTGACCTTGCCTGGCCCACGGGGTGGGATTATTTGAGAAGCAAGTGAGCAAATGGAAGAGCTCTATCTCTACTTTGTAAGTAAAATGAAAATAAGCAAATATAATTTTTAAAATTCAAGCAAAGTAGCACAAATAAAAGGAGTCCAGGATGCAACAAAAACCAAAAGAAAAGGGAGTGGATATTACAGGTAATTCACGTGTGATGTCATTGATTTTCCAGCTTTGCCCCGCGTGCCCTCTGCAGGGAAGATTATTGAGAGAGGAATCCCAAATGGCTCAATACTTGTCTTTTTTTGTTTTTAAGATTCATTTATTTTTTATTGGAAAGGCAGATCTACAGAGAGGAGGCTCATTGCATGTCTTTTGTCCAGGACCTTCTGGGCAGGACAGTAAAAGCGCCTTGCCAAACCGACCTGAGTGGGATTCCTGGTGCTTTCACTTACTCCACGTGATGAGCAACTAGACCTATCAAAATTTTCATTTATGTACCACTACAAAAGGTGTTCATTCACTCACCAAATCATTTTCTCAGCACTTATTCTGTGATAGGTAGCATTCAGAGCTCCGGGAATATAGCTGCGGACAAGTAGGCAAAAACTTCGACCCTCACAGAATTTATATTGCTGTTTCAGACACTGAGGCAAAATGGCTTAAAAGTAGCCTAGATCTGTTGCAGAACCTTCTCCTCTAGGCTCCACTCAAAACCAGCAGACATTCTGGGTCCCCCTTGTGGCACAGCCCCCTCAAAGAGGTACATGTTGCCTTCAAAGTGGCAAGTAGCTATCCCAGTTGTGGGACTGACCTGACACGACAACCCATCCTCTGTGTCAGACCCCTGGACGGAGCAGTTTCTATCGGGTGGAAAGCCAATGAAGTTATATGAGATCTATTGTTCACTCCCCAGCAGGCCATTGTGGTCCTGGTGATTGGTAATTCATGCTTTCTGGGACCAACACATTGCCCTCAATATAACGGACCAATGTGATGTCTTGAAATCGAGACTTAGGTTGCATTATGATGTAGTGAGGCCAGGGCAAGCAGAACAGCTGTCCTGGAAAGGGACTTCTTTTCTATCAATGCTCTGGAATGTCCCTCTCTGTTTACAATCAAATTGTTGCTCAGATTTGAATGAAAGTTTTAACACCACTACAATAGAAATGTCTCAAGTTAAAGCACCACTTAATTGCATCTTGGCAATGCTCCCTTGTAACCAAGGCATTAAGCTTCATGAATAATTCATAGGCTTCGCAGGGTACCCTTCTGCTGTGATGGAGCAGAAATAAGGCGGTGGCAGGTAGGGCAAGCAGGTATTGCAAGGTTCCTGTCACCCTAGCAAGTGAGGTGCCAGCTCCGAACTTTCTCCCCTCCTGACCTGGTACATGAAGGCTGTCTGGAGGCCTCGGCCCCCCTTGGCAGCAGAGTAGCCACTGATTCTCGGGCATAATGTTCAGTGCAGAGAGAAACACAGACTTCATCTCTTGGGCTCCAGGGATACTTTTCAAAGGCCCTCATGCAAAGGGATGAGCGTGGCGACCAGGCACTACAGCAACTGCATTGCCACTCGAAGTCTGCTTTCACTGAAGTCCTACAAATTCATTTCACTATGTCACCTGACCCTCCCCAAAAGAAAACGCTTGGCCATTGTCCACAGGACCCTGGATATACAGCAGATAAACCGTGCGTGTACCTTCATGTTTAAATCTTCATAATCATGATTCCTACAAGGTTAACTATGTGTCTACGAGAGTCATTTCATCTAATACTCATGAGATAATTACTACGATCACTGCTTAAGAGCCGAGATGAGGGTTTGCAGAGGCGAGCCAGCTGGCCTACAGTCACACATCTAGAAATGCATGGGGCAGCTATTGGAACCTGAGTGCTCCCATATCCGTAATTCTCCCACCCCACCTCTTTCCATGATGGGAATCTTCTCTTTTCAATGTGTTCCTTTTTCTGGGTTAGCCCCAGTCTGACCTATGCAGGAGAAAGGCCTATGTCCTTGTTCCATCTGGTAGTCAATGAGGAATGACTGGGAAGCCCCCAGCCTTTGTCCTCCTACTCATTTAGGATCTCACTGCTTTTGAATCTTTCCGCAGTTGAGATTTTGCTGTGTCTCAGACACAGTTTGCAGCTGTCCCTCAATGGTTCATAAGCTAGAAGCTAGAACTCCAATGCTTGGAGAAGTGGTGAACCTTCCAGAATTAGGATCTGGTGTAAGGCTGTGCAGTCGTGCGGCTAATGCACCTGGAAGAGATTCTTGTTGTTTTTACAAGAATGCATTCTCAAAAGTGAGTTCTTATGGGTCTGGTGCTGTAGCCTAGCAGCTGGGGTCCTCATCTTGCATGCACTGGGATTCCATGTGGATGCCAGTTCTAATCCCAGCAGCCCCACTTCCCATTTGATTCCCCGCCTGTGGCCTAGGAAAGCAGTCAAGGATGACCCAAAGCCTTGGGACCCTGCACCTACATGGGTGACCTGGAAGAGGCTCCAGGCTCCTGGCTTCAGATGATCTCAGTTCTGGATGTTGCAGTCACTTGGGGAGTGAATCATCAGACAGAAGATCTTCCTCTCTGTCTCTCCTCCTCTCTGTATATCTGACTTTCAATAAACATAAAATAAATCTGAGAAAAAAAAAGAGTAAGTGTTTATAAACCAAAGCTACCACATGTTTGTCCTGCCCCATGTACCCACGTTACTTACCTGCAATGTTGGGACACAATCAGCAGGACGCTCACCATGCCAGTTCCATGCCATTTGGACTTCGACTCACCAAAATTCTGAGCCAAATAACCTTCCTTCCTTTGCACATTATCCAGCCACAAGCACTCTGTTTCCAAACCAACACAACAGCATAAAAAACGAACACAGATTAGATGAGCAAGAAACCCAGCAAAAGTATATGCAAAAAGTACCGCACGCAGGTGAAACCCTACCCATGGCTTAGAGTGGGAGTACCTGGCTTTTAACGCAGCCTGCCGGCTATTCTCCGGGTGATCCCTCAAGAGTCATTTCATTCTCACAGCTTAGTTTTCTCACAAGTCAATGGAGCAAGCTATCTTGTCTACACAACCAGCATTGCTGTGAAGATTTAATACGGCAAAGTTTGTGAAGATGTCTTTTGTCATCCAAATCGCTCTCAGTTCCACCATTCTCGGCAACACTGTGTAATGGGAGGGCAGTCACTGTCTGAAAGGAGAGGAGAAATGAACAAATATTAAAGTGCTGCCAAGACAAGCATCAGAACAGCCCTTAGGGAAAGCTACTATTTCTCCATTCCCCTGGGAAACTCCTGAAAGACATCCAATACTCTTAAAATCAGCCCTGCCTCCTAACTGGCCCTTCCCCCACTCTCGGCTCTCCTGAAGGGTCCCACCCGGGCGGACGTTACATTTGCAAAGTCGGCTCTCAATCATAGGTCATCTTCTTCATGGCCGTGGCACAGGTGGCCTACAAAAACCCCATAGATAATGTCCCCTGGCAGTTCGTCTGTGACATGAAAGGGAAGAAATTGTGTTCCTTGATTATTCAGTAAAGGCCAGGTAGAAAGTTCTTCTGCGCTTCCCCACTCCCTCCCCTTACTCCAGATCATAACCAGAAATGAAGGCATACAACGAAGTCATACCTCAGCTTGTTATAAATAGATCAGAAAAAAAATGGGGGGCTAGAGGAGAGGCATTCTAAACTTCTGGAAATGATTATAGTCAAAGAGAACAGATGGAATTCTATGTTTGTCCCTTGGGGACAACGTTGGCCTTTGTTTCTTGGTTGCACTCCTTGCTCCCTGTAGAAGAGTTAAGCATTGTCCTAAAAACCTGTGCCTAGCAGCCGGCAGCCACTCCCCTGCCATCCCCAGTGTTTGTGGCAGCCCGGATGTGTCTGCCTCCCCAGCCCTGGCTCTGTTGCTCTTTGCCCTGTGTAGGCATCCTGCAAAATCTCCCCCGTGGTGTTGTAACGCTGCTTTCTGGTCTGTCTCAACTAAGACGATGTTTCAAGATGCTAATGCACCCTCCACTCCAACAGGGGTGCTGCAGATTTGGGGGGCAGAGCTAGCACAGGAGGCCGGCATGCTCATCTTTTTACACAGAAAGAAGGGAGAGAATGAGTCCAGGCCAGTATATGGTAATCCACACAAGCCAAAGCAGAAAATGCTAGGGACATAGGAGAGAAAGCCTAAGGCTACCTGTTTGGAATAGGTCACTGAAGTTTAAACAAAATCATCACCAAATCTCCACACAGCCTGCAGGAAAAAAAAAAATGGTGCATTTTCTGATTCCTGACTCCCCTTTATCACCATGAAAAAAAACAAAGCCAGGGCCAGCACTATGGCATAACAGATTAAGCCTCCACCTGAGATGCTGACATCCCATATGGGCCGAGGTTGTGGTCCCATTGTTCCACTTCAGACCCAGCTCCCTGCTTATGGCCTGGGAAAGCAGATGACTCAAGGCCTTGGGTCACTGCACACACATGGGAGACCCAGAAGAAACTCCTAGCTCCCAGCTTCAGACTGGTTCACCTGTGGCCATCTGTGATCATTTGGGGAATGAATTAGCAGATGGAAAATCTTTGTCTCTCCTTTTCTCAGTGTAACTCTTTCAAATAAAAATTAAAGAAATCTTAAAAAAAAAAAAAAAAAGAGGCACAAGAGGACAAGTTGAGAGCAGAAGCAGGAGAAGATGTCTCAGAGGGAGGTAGGCCCTGGATCACAGCTTCTCAGAGTGCAAGGGAGGCCTCTGTACACTTTTTCCACAGTCAGTGCAGGAGTACTAGGGCGGCGAGCAGCAGCTTAAAGAGCTCCTCTGCTGAACAGGCCTCATGACCCAGAACCACAAACCCCATTCCGTGGGGGTACCTGCCCTCGTGAGGTGCAGTGTTGGTTCACTCTTTCAAGATAATGGCCATTATGACAGTGAGGTGATCTAAGACAGAAGCACCAATAAGGGGACCAAAGACTTGAAAATGGTTCATGTACACACATAATCTCATTGTCAACACATTTTATATCAAAGTTGTTTTAATAGAAAATAATACAAGAGGAGGCATTAGGCAGAGCAGCTCAGATGCCATTTGAGACAACTGTATTCTGTCCCAGAGTGAGTGTCCAAGTCCCATCTCCACTTCAGTTGCATGTCCCTGCTAATGTGCGGCCTGGCAGGCAGCAGCTGATGACTCCAGGACCTGGACCAGACTGAATTCTTGGCTCCTGGCTTCAGCCTGGACCACTCCTGGTCATTGTGGGCTTTTGATGACTGCATCAGCAGACAGAGGATGTGTGTGTGAGTGTGTGTGTGTGAGTGTGTGTGTGTGTGTGTGTGTGTGTGTGTGTGTGTGTATGCGCAGTCTGCCTCTATCTCTTTGTCTCTCTTCCTTTCAAAAAAGTAATTTGAAAAAAATTAAGAAAACAAGAAGATTAACACTGTCCTAATAAATTTGGCAGATACATGAGCTATACTGATAAGTACAATCACTGTTGTTCTGACATTTTCTATGCACATACACACACACACACACTTGTGTACTGATTTGCTTAAACCACTTATGCTGATCATTAATGCATTTCAATCACGGGGAGGTCCTCCATGGTGAACTTTAGTGCCTAGTCAATGGAGAAGATGGTTTTAGGAGGCCATGCCTATATTGACATTGACGTAGACTGGCTTGGCCTTCAAATCCCATGATGTGGAACTTGGAACTAGGCAATGTGGTTGTCTGAAACATGAATTATGAATTGATGTAAACTATTCAGAGACTATATGATGAAATGATCGAGTGCTCATTCCCTTTGACTCAGATTCTACTTTTAGAATGACTGAGGATTTTTGCAAAAGCACTCTCTTTGAAATGCTCTTTCAACCTAAATAGTCACTACTAGGAGGCTTTTCTCAGGAACATTATATAGCTGTATATGTATTGCATTATAAAGATAATTAAAATATATAGTTTGTGAAAAATGGTGATTATGGGCATTATATTTTCATGTGAAGATACAAATTAATGAAAATTGAATTAAAGCAATGGAAATGAAAAATCTAAAATCCATAATAAATTTTCATGATGTCCATTTTCAGTTAGCTCTTTGAAGATACCTCATGTGTTTGTCTAGACATATATATATATATATGCATAACTATATAAAATTGACTATTTACTTTCTGTCCCACCATTGCGAGCCAGAGAAACACATTTCATTGAGATTTGAATTAGCAATTCTTATTCTCTAACATCTATGCTGTGACAGAAAATCTAACAAAGGATAGAATAAACCAAGCACTACCTTTATTTCAGGGATTTTAAATACTAGAAGAAGAAATGAGATCTTTTTTCCATTCACTAGACAGGGAATACCTTAACTAAGAACTTGAAAGCTATTACTTCTCATTCTAGAGAACAAGGTAAATCCATTAAAATCAGAAAAAGTTAAAAAACACATTTACTGAGTCCACCATGAATTTGCTAATCCAAACTTGCCAACTCTTGTTTACAAATAAATTCATGTAGAATGTTAGAAAAAAGTTAACAACCAGAATTGAGTCTAAATATTTTACCTAATTTACATAAACTAAAAACAACCAGAAGATTTTTTTCCAGTCAAGAAATACTTGACCATAGCCACCTCATTTTCATAATTATTTTTTTAAGAGTCATGTATTTATTTGAAAGAAAGATCTGCAGAACGAAGGAAAGACAGAGGCAGCTCTTGATTCACTACCCAAGTAGCTGTAAGAGTTGGGGTGAGCTAATCCACAATCAGGAGTCAGGAGCTTCTTCCAGGTCTCCCACATGAATGGAAAGTGTCCAAGCACTCCACTGCCTTTCCAGGCAAATTAGCTGGGCTCTGAATCAGAAGAAGAACAGCTGGGACACAAACCAGCACCCATATGGGCACCCCCACCACAGGTAGAATCCCAAGCCAACCTGTGATGACACCTGCATAATTTTTTTTATAAACTTAGTCATTATATTAGAACATAGCCTCTAGCTGACTACATAGTTATCTGCTCAACTTCATAGCCAATGTAAGGCTCTAATAGTCCACATCTTTCTGGGCCCTTCTCTCAGTACATTTGTCCTAGGATACAAGAACCCTTGCAACATCTTATATCTGATATTGTCAATCAAAATAAGCATCATTTTCAAAAGGGGTAATGTAAGGTTGCTCATGGCAGAATGTTCCAAGTCCAATGATTCAATGGGTCTTGGGAAGTGTGATTTCATACTCATACTCATAGTGATTTCTGATCAGAATTTGTATATCACACAGGCAACATACATTGGCTTAGCACCAAAGCAAATTTTATGGAAGCAGCAGGGGCTGATTTTCTGTTTGGATATTAGTTTCTTTAGAATATGATTTGCTACAAGTACTTCATGATGGCAAAAATGTCATATCTGAAAAAGAAGACCACAGATTAATTGTGTAGAGGACATTCTGGGAATAAATAGATAATGAAGAGATTAAAAAAAAAAAGATTCTTCACGGTGGCTCCAGATGGTTAAGACAAAATAGGCCCCATGTGCACATCACCCAACTTAAATTGACCTGGCAGAAAGATTAATAGCTCTGTCTGGCTACTCCTAAGTCAAGTCTGAATTGTTTGTTTGTTTTCAATTTTCTTTTCAAATCCCTTGCAGGCCTTTTAGAGGCAGTTTGTTCTCAATGTGAAAGTATACTGGTTTTAGCCTAAATGGCACCTTGCGGAAGCATTCAGTCTAACACACCTCTGTCAACATAAAACGGGTCCTAACACAGACCCTGTAAAAGCTAACGAATTAGTGAATACAATTTAAGTTTAGTTTTGGTACCAAAATAAGTCTTCTCCTTCAATTATTTCTTTAACATTTTTTATTTATTTTAAGAATAAAAGGAGAGAGATCGAGAGGTTGTCTATCTTCTAGCCTATTCCACAAAAGCCATGATGAAGCCAGGCTAAAGTTATACACTCTGAACTCAACCCAGGTCTCCCATATGGATGACAAGGACCAACTATCTGAGCCATCACTTTTTGTCTCCCAGAGTGTGCATTAACAGGAAGCTGAAATCAAACACACAGCCAGGATGTGCCCAAATCAAGCCAGGACATGCCGAAACAAATGTTATACCAAACACTTGCCATACAAACCAATTTTTTAATTGCATCTTCCCATAACCTTTTAAAACACTCCTTTGTAAATGTACCTCAAACACC